TTCTTGGTATGTCTTGAGGCTTTCTTTGGAGCCTCTTGAGTCGTCTTGGGTCATCTTGGCGTCATCTTGGCATCATCCTGGCTGCCTTGACAGCCGTCCTGGAAGCCATACTGCCCCCAAGAAGGCCCCAAGGCAGCCTCAAGACATACCAAGAAGCCCTAAAAACGGCACACGAGGTCTTCAAGAGGCCCTCCAGGAGAGCCCGATGAGGCCAACACCATTGATTGTCCTTCGGTTTTTGAAGCATGTTGAGATTTGGCGTGTTCGGGTTTCGGACCGCCCAAGACAGCCCAGGTGGCCTCTTTGGGCCGTCGTGTTGCCCCCTTTGAGCGCTTCAAGGCCGCCTCGGGGCCCTATTTTTAAGTCGGGCCCGTCCCTCTAATTCAACAAATGTTTGTACATAATCAGGGGACCATCATTTGACCATTTATTGACCTTGTGGGGGCATGTTTTACAAGTTCTTATTTTCCGCCCATGGGCGATATTTGAGTCTTCTTGTGGGCTTCATGGGCTGTCCTTGAGTTATGTTGGAGGCCTCTTGGAGGCTTCTTGGACCGTCTTGGGCGGTCGGAAACCCGAACAGGTGAGAATCTCAACATCTCTCAAACGCCTCAGGACAACAAACGGTTTTGGTCTCCTCGGGCTCTCCAAGAGGGCCTCTTGGAGACCTCTTGTGCCGTCATTGGGGCTTCTTGGTATGTCTTGAGGCTTTCTTTGGAGCCTCTTGAGTCGTCTTGGGTCATCTTGGCGTCATCTTGGCATCATCCTGGCTGCCTTGAAAGCCGTCCTGGAAGCCATACTGCTCCCAAGAAGGCCCCAAGACAGCCTCAAGACATACCAAGAAGCCCTACAAACGGCACACGAGGTCTTCAAGAGGCCCTCCAGGAGAGCCCGATGGGGCCAACACCATTGATTGTCCTTCGGTTTTTGAAGTATGTTGAGATTTGGCGTGTTTGGGTTTCGGACCGCCCAAGGCAGCCCAAGTGGCCTCTCTGGGCCGTCTTGTTGCTCCCTTGGAGCGCTTCAAGGCCGCCTCGGGGCCCTATTTTTAAGTCGGGCCCGTCCCTCTACAGGACAGGAGGAATGTTCAAACATTGTTTTGAAACTAGTCAGGGGACGATTATTTGAGCATGGATTGACCATTGGGGGCATGTTTTACGATTTCGTGTTTTCCGCCCACGGGCGATCTTTGAGTCTTCTTGTGGGCTTCATGGGCTGTCCTTGCGTTATTTTGGAGGCTTCTTGGAGGCTTCTTGGACCGTCTTGGGCGGCCGGAAACCCGAACAGGTGAGAATCTCAACATCTCTCAAACGCCTCAGGACAATCAACGGTTTTGGCCTCCTCGGGCTCTCCAAGAGGGCCTCTTGGAGACCTCGTGTGCCGTTTTTAGGGCTTCTTGGTATGTATTGATGCTTTCTTGGGAGCCTCTTGAGTCGTCTTGGGTCATCTTGGCGTCATCTTGGCATCATCCTGGCTGCCTCGAAAGCCGTCCTGGAAGCCATACTGCTCCCAAGAAGGCCCCAAGACAGCCTCAAGACATACCAAGAAGCCCTACAAACGGCACACGAGGTCTTCAAGAGGCCCTCCAGGAGAGCCCGATGAGGCCAACACCATTGATTGTCCTTCGGTTTTTGAAGCATGTTGAGATTTGGCGTGTTTGGGTTTCGGACCGCCCAAGGCAGCCCAAGTGGCCTCTCTGGGCCGTCGTGTTGCCCCCTTGGAGCGCTTCAAGGCCGCCTCGGGGCCCTATTTTTAAGTGGGGCCCGTCCCTCTACAGGACAGGAGGAATATTCAAACATTGTTTGAAACTAATCAGGGGACGATTATTTGAGCACTGTTTGACCATTTGGGGATATTTCTTTCAACTGTTCCATTTTCCGCCAAAAATCCGCCTGTAGGGGGACAGGCCCGACTTAACCCCAGTTGGGAGCCCCTTGGACAATCTTCGTATCCTCTTGGGTTGTCTTGGAGCGGCGGGCCAGGCTAGGCCTCCCCCCCCGGACACGGGCCTCCCCGACTGGGGGGCCCCCCTTGTCAAAGGGGGGATTTGTTCGCACCAGTCGGCAACGCGCAGAGGGGGGTAGGGGGAGGGGGGAAGGCTTCTTAGAAGCACCCCTGCTTCTTAGAAGGCGCGGGCCTTCTCTATAGACGCAAGCCCGAGGCCTTTTAAGAAGCAGGGGTGCTTCTAAGAAGCCTTTTCCCCTCCCCCTACTTCCTTTTGCGCGCCGCCAAACCAGGGAGGGGGCGATCCGATCCCCCTTGGGTGCAACAAGGGGGGGTGCGAACAGAGGGGGGAGGCCCCCACCCCCTTGCTCAGAGGGAGGGGGGGCTTCGCATTCGGGGAGCCCCCCCCTCCACTCGAGGGGGGAGGTTCGAACCGGGGGGAGGGCCGTCGTCGTCGTCGTCGCCGCTGCCGCCACCGCCGCCGCCGCCGTCGCCGCCGTCGCCGTCGTCGTCGTCGTCGTCGTCGTCGTCATCGTCGTCGTCGTCGCTGCCCGACGGCGCTGGCGCCAAGGTGAGGAGCCCCCTCGGTTCGAATCCCCCCCTGCATCTCGGGGATCGCTGTCGCCGTCGCCGTTGTCGCCGTCGCTGTCGCCGTCGCCGTCGCTATCCTGGGGGCCTCTTGGAAGCCTCTTGGGCCGTCTTTGGTGGTCGGAAGCCCGAACATGCGAGGACTCCAAAGTCTCCTCAACAACCTGAGGCCCGGCAGCCGCGCACCAGAGGTCACCCTTACCCAGGGTCGCTCTTGCGCGCGGCCGAGTGAGCCTTCTCCGCCGAGCCGGGAGGGCGCACAGCCCCGATCGGGGGCCCGAAAGATGTGCCCAGGCAGCATCGGCGCAGGCGTGAGCCCCGACGTGCGGCGCCCTTATATTTTTTTTTCTCCGCGCGCGGTCCCCGGAAGTCCCGACCTCTTCCCCAGTGATTGCCGGTTTGTCATCTTGAGCCTTTCTCGGCGCCTCGGGGGCCCGGTGAGGGCCCCCGAGAGGCCGAGGACCACGAAGAGCTTCCCGTCCTGCGTTGCTCTCGACGCGAGCGTGTCTGGGAGGTTGGCGCCCTCCGACGCGAGGCCAGAGAGGCGCAGAGGCGGCTCCGACGGCCCTGGGGCGGCGGGCTCCGCCAGAGGGGCTCTGCGACGCAGACCGCAGGGGGGGAGGCAGCCGCAGCGGGCTGGTGGGGGGGGGCCAGCCGTGGGGCCTCTCGCCGCCTCCGCCTCCGCCTCGCGTGATCGCGGAAGGGAAAACGCCACATTTTTTTTGTTGTTGCGTCGGCGGCTGGGCAGAGCCACGGCGCAGGCGAAAGGAGCGCAGTAGGGGGCAGGCGTGAAGCTCATCGTGCCACCTCGAAGAACGCCATAAACAGAAGCTGTTGGCGCTCCGCGCGGATCCGCGCGGGGCTCGGGGCGCCTCTGGCTCCGCCCCCGGTGCGCTCCGCGCGCCAGGGAGGGGGTCCAGCGCAGATCCAAGAAGTCCGCGCGGAGCGCGAAAAGTCTATGTGTATGGCTTTTGTTGTTCTTCTCTATAAGCCAATACGGTCGGACCGAGGTAGAAGACAGAGGTCGGTTCGGGGAGGATGCCCCCTCAGGAGAGGTACGCTGCAGCCACGGGGGGGAGAGCCGCAGCGGGCCAGGGGGCCAACTTTGGGGCCTCTCGCCGCCTCCGCCTCCGCCTCGCGCAACCCAGTACGGTCGGACCGAGGCATTATATATATATATTATATATATATATATATATATATATATATAAGGGCGAGGTCGGTTCGGGGAGGGTACCCGAACGTTCTTCGTGTCCGCTGGATGTTGAGGTGCATCCTGGGGGAGGGCACCCTTGGATGTTCTCTCTGTGTGTGTGTGTGTGTGTGTGTGCGTGCGTGCGTGCGTGCGTGTGTGTGTGTGTGTGTGTGTGCGTGCGTGCGTGCGTGTGTGTGTGTGTGTGTGTGTGTGTGCGTTTGGCTGGCGGAGGGCCTCGTGTGCTTGAAGGATGCTCTTCTGTCGTGGGTCCGACTGCATCGCCCCCGCGGCCACAGCGGGGGTGAGGCAGCCTTGCCGCCCGAGCGCCACGGACTCTGGGGACTGGCCCACGTTCGAGCACCAGTCAGGAGGAAAAGAAACACACAGACACAATTAATCCTCGATTCCCCAGAAAATATGGGAAAATATGGGAAGTGGTTGGGAAGACAGAAACCCAGAAAATATAGGAAAATATGGTGAATATTTTTATTTGTGTGTATTTATTTGTGTGTCCTGGGGCCCCTTCAACCAGCCTCGAAAAGGCCGCCGAGACCTCACCCCACCCACCGCTGGTCCTGGCACCCCGCCTGCCAGGAGTGCCCGCGGGTGCCTCCGGTGGGGGTGGGGGCGTCATTTTGGATCACCGGGTTGCTGTACAAGGCGTTCCTCTGCAAGCACATCGTCTTCGGCACCGCCCGATTCCGGGGCTTTGCCTTCTCTTGGCGTTGACGTGAGGGCCCTCCTTCTGCCTTCCCCTCTCTGTTAATTAATGCTGTGCGCGGCCCGCTTAGCTTCGACCGGAAGAGGTGCGCTCTCGACCCGCGGATCAAAACAAGTTTCTGGATCGTCGCCTTGCCGTAGGGGGGCCTGGGAAGGCAAGACCAGCACCGCGGCACAGCACCGTACACGAGCGTGCGCGGCACCAGTTCTCTCTGCAGCGAGGCTTTCCTGCCCGATGCTTTGCGCCGAGGTCTGCCATTTTCATGTTGTCGCTTGCCGTTGTTGTCGTTTCCACCATATTCCCTCTCCACTTTCCATGCCGTTGCGTTCCCCTCTTCGCACCGAGCACCTTGGTGCCTTGCTGCCTCATCGTCCATTCCGTGCTGAAGCGCGTGTGGCTGGGGGCGGCGAAGAATAGAATAATAAAGCATCGCGTAACGCTTTCCGAGCTTTGAGCGGATTTCGTAGACCTGGCGATGGGCCCCCGTGGTGGCGTCTTTGGCGCCGCCCATCGTCGAAAGCTCAGTTTAAGCCGTGTTCTCATCCTCGGAGCATAGCAATGTGTGAACGCGAGCGGCAAGTGACGACACCAGGATAAACGAGTTGGCGCACCGGGGATTTTCACCGGTAGCGCCGCGGCGAGGCGGAGGGCGGTTCCACTCTCTGCGGCGTTTTCTTACCACACCTTTCCGAGAATTCCCCTGCCTTCTTAGCTTATTACACACACACACCTCTTATTGCGCCCCCTCCCTCCCCTGATTTTGTAAGCAAGCACCAACACCCACATTCGCGGTTTGCCTCCAGCGAGGGTAGATGATCCTGATCCCGGAAATGGTGGCAATATTCGTGCGTCCTGGGCAGCCGCAGGATGACCGCCAGCACCAACATCTAGGATCATCTTCCCGTGGTGGAGGCACATCCTTTTGGTTGGTGCAACAACGGAGGATAGCCACTGCGAGCCTTTTGCCTGGCGTTTACGAAACATTCCTGGGCTTTTGCTGAATTGTCCTGTTATGTCCGATTCCTTCCACAGGTGAGTTTATACAGGGACCTCGCTGGTCAGTGTGAGGATCATGAGGGTGGTCCTTCCGTCCTCGAAGCAGGGACGCCGATGACGATGACGAAGAGAAGAGGGCGACGAACTTCTCAGTCTCGCTCAAACTTGCGTCCGCGCGTGCTCTCCTCCAGGTCTCCTTCGTCCAGGATCCAGGAGACCTCACCTGCCGCTGGCCCGGTCCCGGAGCGTCTCCAGCGAAGCCAGGCAGGCATGACGGCCAGGCTTCTTGAGGGAAGCGGGTCCTCGGCCCCGGAGCTTTCCAAGGCACCAGTTCTTCAACCTGAGTCGCGCTCGGACTGTCCCACGAGGGAGGAGGGAGGACGGAGGAGGGAGGAGGGGGGAGGGAGGGAGGAGGGGGAGGAGGGAGCAGGGAGGAGGGAGGGGGTAGGAGGGAGGAAGGAGGTGGAGGGGTGGGGTGGGGGGGGGGGGAGGAGGGAGGAGGGCCCCTGGTGGGCCCCAGGGGGCCGAGAACAACGACGGGGTCCCGGACCCCTCTCCTCCAGGGCCCGCACCGCTCTCCCGTCGAGAGGGGCTGCGCCTGCGCCCGCCGGCAGGATCGGGCCGGGCGAAAGGGGGGGATTGGGAAAGGGGGGATTACGAAATCTGCTGCATGCAGCTGGTTTCGGCCTCACCGAGGGGCCCATTCCTCGATACATGGGCGCCTCTGGCGCCGGGAGGCGCCGGGAAAATCAGCTACGTGAGCTGATTCTCAAACCCCCCCTTTGCTATCCCCCCCTTTCGCCCGACCCGACAGGAGAGCTCATCACCGACATCCTCGACACCAAGTTCATCCCGTGGGTCGCCTTCGATATCAGCCCCGCCGTGGTGAGGGCGGCGCGCGCCAAGGACCTCCCCGTGTTCCTCGGCAGGCACCCCGACCCCGCCCACGCCTGGTGCAGCACGGTGTCCAACTCGCAGATCGCCGTGGCGGGGGCCTCTGCTCCGGGGGTCCAACTCGGATCGCAGGTGCGAGTCGCACAGGGGCGACGGAAGGGTTCGGGGCCGGTGGCGCCGACCGCCGCGCGCGAGCTGCCCGCCCGCGTGATGTCGCGCGTGAGCGCCCTCCTTTCCAATGTGGCGCGACGCGCTGGCGGCCCGCGTAAGCCGCGGCGTGGGGTCGCGATGCCATCTCGCGTCAGAGCCGTTTCCTCTTGTCTCCCACATGTCCGTACCGTGTCTCTCGCAGAGCGCGTTCCACTACTCGCAACGTGCCTACTCGCAAACGTTTGAGACATCAAGACATGTTTGCCCCGATGCAGTGGGTCACAAGCCCACCGTGGCGGATCCGGGCCACTTGCGCGTAGCTGCTCTGCGAGTCGTGGTGCGCGCTCGTCTGACGCGTGGGCCGCTGCCGCCAGGGGCAGCGCGCACGCCGAAGCATCCTGCGGAGTGAGCTCCGCGGCGAGTGCGGTGGTGGGCGTTTTTGTACGCATTGTTTTGCCGATCGGCGCCGGCCTTCGCACCCCCTCCCTCCCCCCCCGTGGAATAGCTCTTGGCTGTCTGGGGGGCCTGTCTCGAGCAGGCGGAGTCTCCCCCGCAGGACGCACTGTCGCAAACAGTCGCACTGAGCAGAGGTCCGGAGCCAGACCCGCCCCCCCCCTCCAGCCCGCCCTCCGCCCAATGTCGAAACGCCGAATATCTAGGCCTCCCAGATGGGGTCGAAGTAGATGGGGTCGGAGGATCGCACCGCATCGCCGAGACATCGGCGATGCATCGTCGATGCATCGGCGATGAGGTTCAATGTGGGGCCCAACTTTCTCCAGGCCGACGTCGCCGATGCATCGCTGACGTCGCCAGTGCATGGTTAATGCATCGCCGATGCATCGGCGATGCACCGTCGCTGTATCGGTGATGCGGTGAGATCCTCCGACCCCATCTTCTCGGACCCCATGGCGGGCAGCCGTGGTAGCCGTGGCGCAGCAGGCAGCGGCAGCCGTGGCGCAGCCTGTTCTCGGTAGGGCGAGGTGGGACGGGCGTGGCGCTTCCGTAGCGCCCTGGGTGCCCGCTCGGCCCGAGGGCTCGCCAGCAGGAGGAGGAGGAGGAGGCGGAGGAGGGGGTGGGGGGAGGAGGAGGAGGAGGAGGAGGAGGAGGAGGAGGAGGAGGAGGAGGAGGAGGAGGAGGAGCTGGAGCAGGAGGGAGGAGGAGGAGGAGGAGGAGGAGGAGGAGAGGGGAGGGAGGAGGAGGAGGGGGGGAAGGAGGAGGAGGAGGAGGAGGGGGAGGAGGAGGAGGTGGAGGCCTCTAGGATAGCAAACGCGCTCACCTTGCGGAGGGAGCTCCGCGGTGGGGGCGGTGGCCCGCAGCACGGCTTGCAGCCTGCTGGTTCTTCGCCTCTCGCGTCGGGCGCGCGCCTCCCAGGAGGGGGGAACGCGGCGCCGCCACGCCCTCCCTGCGCCCCCCTGCAGTGGAGGCATGTGCCAAGGAGCACCCTGCTTGCCTCCAGGGTGCCCCGGGTTTCTTTGGTTTCATGGTTTTGCCACTTGTGGAGAGCGTGATGTTCCACACCAGAAAATCGGTGGACGTCCCGGGGTCTCAGGGTTGGGCTTCTTGTGGAGGGCTTCTTGTGGTCGAGCTCCTGCTGTAGACCTCGAGGACTCCGCGCGGACCTCCGAGCTCTTACCCGTCGGTCGTTGAAAGTATGTATTCTTGGAGCCCCAGATTCCAATCTACTGCATGTGCCTTCCTAATTGCTTCAATGATCGAGTGCCTTCACCGTTTCTGTTCTCCTTAGGGGGCGGGCGGACACCCAGTCTACTTTCGACGTCTTCCCACGTCATGGTTCTGCCTACTTCTTCCGACCGATAGGCATGCTCACGTCACTGTCTGTGTGTGTTCCGCTGTTGGCGTCGGCTGGGGGCCTGAGGCGGCCCAGCGCTGGTTCCGGCGAACATGAAGGGGGGCGAGGTTCGAATTTTTGTTGCGGGTTCGAGAGGGTGTGTTGTCCTTGCCGTCAAGTCGGGCATGCCCCTGTACAGGAGGAATATTTCTAAGATGGTCAAAAATATGGTGGGGACGACTTGTTCTAATATGTTTGACTATGTTTGAATATTGTTACATTTTTCGATCAAAATCTGCCTGTAGGAGGGCATGCCCGACCTAACCTTTCCGGCCTTCGGGAGCCGTTTTCGGGCTCGGGAACTGTCAAAAACGGGGCTGGGCTGAAAACCTTCACCAGATGGGCCCCAGGAGGGGGTCGGGTCCGGGGCCCGATTTTGAGCGGACTTGTCGGTATCCCCTTCTCTGGACAGATTTTCTCGGGGCCCCTCCAACTCAGACCCCCGAGCCGCCCCCAAACCTAGACCAGCCATTCGGCGACGCGTACAGTGGAGGCCCATGCAAAGAAACACCCTGCTTGCCTCCAGGGTGCCCTGGGTTTCTTGGGTTTCGATGGTTCTGCGATGGAGAGCGCGACCTTCCCACACCAAAAATCCATGGGCGTCCTGGGGTCTCAGGGTTGGGCTTCTTGTGGGATATTTTTTTGTGGTCGAGTTTCTGCTGTAACGGAGGGGCGATGTACATGGGGCGGCGGCGAGGGCTGCAGAGAAGGGGCCCTTTGGGGCCCCTCGAGGGGCCCTTCAGGGCCCCAGAAGGGCACCTTTCTCCCCCGCCCATCGCCACCAATCCGGCGTTGCCCAGCCGGCCGCTTGTCACGTGCGCGGAGGAGCCCAGCTGCAGAGCGAAGGGGGCGGCCGGCAAAGGCGACGAAGACGAGGGGCGTCTGTGGGGGGAAGGGAGGAAAGGCAGAGCGGCGCCCCTGGACCAGCCACAAGCATGGCACTTGCGGCTCCTCCGATTCGATTCGATTCGACTTAGGTGGCTTCCGATTCCGAGTCGATTCGACCGTGGACTCCGGTTTAGATTCCGACGTTGCCTTGGAGGCCCACTTGCCTGCCGATTCCCGCCGGTTCGACTTTCCCCGGCTTGGCTGCCGATTTCTGCCGATCCGACTCATTTCGATCGCCGATCCGACTTGTCGATTCGATTTTGGGCTCTCTTGCGCTACTCGTGGAGCGGAGGTCCTTGCCCCCACTTGGGTCAGCCATCGTATTCGTCGCCACCGGTGTTTCACGAGGCGGTGTGCAGCAGGAGTGCTCTCACGAGGCAACGCCGTCGTTGCGATGGCCATTTCCCGCCTCTCTCCCTCCTCCGCGCTGTGGGTGGAGATGCAGGGTGAGGGGGGGATGACCCAGACCTCCGACGTTGTGACTTGTTGCATGCCGTTGTGTTCCCTCGATTTGAGCCTCTCGGAACGCGGGGCCGTCAGACAAAATCAGGCTCGGATGGGATATTGTTCCCCGGGAAGGGGCCGATAGGTCTTGGGCCATACGCTGAAGAAGTCACGACGTCGGAGGCCTGATAATGGGAAGGCAGAAGAGAGGAGGGGGGCAAGCTAGCGTCAATTCCAGTTACCGTCGCAAGTCCGTAACCAATTTCTATGACGCGCGGTTGGTCTAGGACGGTTGTCAGGCGTTGCTTGAAATTGTGGTCATGGGCCAATTTCCGCACAGACAAGACGAGTGCCGTCCAGCCACTGTCTAGATATATGGATGTAGATATGCTGTACCAGCCGGACTTGAAGCCTTGAAGCTGTGCAAGCTGTGCAGGGAGAGCGTTCGCACCATGTTTGGCATCTTATCCCTCCAACCCATCCCTTCCCACTGCGCTGTATTTGTCCGCCGACGGGTGTCATAGCGGACCTGGGTCGCCGAAATGACCCCATCGTGTGATGCGCGATCAGCAGGGAGAGTCGTGTGCAATGGAGCAGGGTGAGGAAGATGTGTGGATCCCAATGACCCCATGCGGTCCGGCTTTACGCCTGTCCGCGCTTGGTCCGTTCTGAAGATGATGAGGGTGCTACGTGAAGCAGTTCCGACACCATTGATCTTCGATTCCCAGGAGAATGTGGGAACATATTGGCAATTGGGGGGGAAAGACGAAAGCCCAGAATACATAGGGAAATGTGGGGAATCATGGGATTTGTGAATATTCATTTGTGTGTCCCAGGGCCCCCCTGTGTGTTTTTCCCCTCCTGAAGATGATGAAAGTGCGCTGGACCCGACTCAGTTTCAGCCCGGTTCCTGAAGCATTGGCGCCCGGCAGCAAGCATTGCCCGCGGCGATCGTTGTTGGCATGCTTCTTCGCAGTGGCGATTGGCCTACGGCATGGTAGATGTATGGGATGTCTCTTGTGCGTAATCGTAAGTCGGGCCTGTCCCTCTACAGGAGGAATGTTCAAACATAGTCAAACAATAGCCTGGGGACGATGTTGTTGACCCTTTGGGGGCATTTTTTGGGCACTTTCTGACAATGTTTTACTTCTCGTCCAAAAGCCCCCTGTCTACTTCTCGTCAATGTTGTACTTCTCGTCAATGTCTTACTTCTCGTCGAAAAGCCCCCTGTAGGGGGACACGCCCGACCTGAGCGCAAGCGCCGAGGCAAGCCCCATCGAGGCAACGACTGGGGCCTTCGCCCGGCCTCACGCGTGCCCTCCTCCTCCTCCTCCTCCTCCTCCTTCCTCCTCCTCCTCCTTCCTCCTCCTTCTCCTCCTTCCTCCTCCTCTCTCCTCGCTCCTCCTCGCTCCTCCTCCTTCTCCTCCTCCTCCTCCCCCTTGTCGAGGGGGAGGCCTGCGGACGCTCCGCTGCCGCTGCTGCCAGGCCACCCTGTGCACACGGTTTTAAGTCGGGCCTGTCCCTCGACAGGAGGAGCATTCAAAAACAGTAAAACAATCCTCTGGGGACTGTGTTTTGACTATCTTGGAGCATTTGGGGGGTACTTTTGGAGTGTTTTTAGCTTTTCGCCCCAGTTCCCCCTGTGGGGGGACGGGCCCGACTTAAGCATACGGGGACCGCCAACGTGCTTACCCTGCGGCAGAGGTTACAAGGACGCGCTGTCATATGTTGCCTGCAGTTGGCTGTGGGAGATCGGTCGTGG